TTGCAGAGAAAGTGAAAGTATGGTTGGAAAAGTGCTTCATGAAGAGAGAACTTGTATTAGTTACAACTGTTTTCTAAATAATCCCACTACCTCCCACAACAACCAGCTTGGTTACAGATAAGAGAACATCGCAGAGGCATGTATGTATGTATGTATGTATGTATGTATGTATGTATGTATGTATGTATGTATGTATGTATGTATGTATGTATGTATGTATGTATGTATGTATTTATTTATTTATTTATTTATTTATTCCATTTATGCCCCGTCTATCTGGTCGTATTGACCACTCTAGGCAGCTTACAACACACAAAGGGGAAAAAATATAAGAACAATATATAAATAAAAGGAATTTGTACATAATTAAAAAAATTAATAAGATGGAGATAGAAAACATAAAAATGAAGGAAAGGGAAGAGGTCAGGGATTAACTAGGAGGGGAAGGCCTGCCTGAACATCCATGTTTTCAGTTGTTTCTTAAAAGTACCCAGCGAGGGAGCCGCGCGAATCTCCGGAGGTAGATTGTTCCAGAGGCGAGGAGCCACCGCCGAGAAGGCCCGGTTTCTTGTTTTTTCCTTCCGGGCCTCCCTCGGCATCAGGCTCCTCAGCCTCACCTCCTGACTCGCATCTCATTCATTCTGTGCTGGAGAGAGTAAAAATAACACTCTGTAATGAAAACAGAGAACAAGTAGAAAAAAACACCCTGAAATCCCTCCATCTAGTGCCTATAGCCAGCCACAGGTATAGAGGATCAATGGTAAATTGATTGGCAGGGATAGCCAAGTCATCCCCAGTCGGGTTGCAAGATCGCTGATAAAACCTACAACTGTTTGCTTCCTTTGCCCAATAAGAAGTGCAATTGTTTGGATTATAAGGGGGAACACAAACTGTAAATATGGCGATATGGTAATGTATTCATCAGTGAATGAATGAAGAGGCATTCATCTCATCTCCATTCTGTTGTGGGCAGTAGACGTCAAAGAACAGTAATCATCATAGATGAATTTCCTCAGATTTTTAGTCTCATTGAGCTATTTTAAGAATTTTTTTCTGTTTATCTAAACATACTTAGAACTAAATCATGCTTTTTTACTTTATGCATTTTATTCATAATAACCTATATGCATTTTTATTGTTAATAACCCTAATATTTTAGACTGCATATGAAATACTTACATTGTTCTTTTTTACTTTTAAAAGTCTTTACTCTTAAAAGAGATGTTCTTGCATTTTAGAATGTAACCTGCAACATTCTTTCTGATATTTGCTCCTATATTCTGGAAACAACTTGAGTTTAATACCTGTGACTTTTATAAATTGCAGGGATAGACTGAGTCATGTCTATAGTTTTTTCTACAACTATAAAATGTTTGGCTGTTACAACAACTCTGAAGTAATTATATATTATGGAACCTAGAACCTATGTAGGGGAATAAAGCCTTGTAGAGAGTAGCAAGCTTTGGAATTGCCTGGAATTATTGCAGCAAAGAAAATATTTATACTTAGATACTCAGATAAATTTAGAAATGATTTCAATGATTGTCTGTTTTCATTCTGGGACTAAACCTTTACTGGACTAATGTCAGCTATGATGACCCATAGGCTTCTGTTCTTTGTTTAAGAGGTATATAAATCTCTGTAGGACTCCTGCGTGAGTCAGGCACTCTCTTCAGAATCTGGCATTGTAGTCCGATTTAATCTGATGCTTATACACCAACCAGCAATTCACTGAGCCCTTAATCTCAAATTAAAACTGATTGTCAGCCATATGACACCAGCATTTGGCCTATGGTGTCTTTTATTACCTCCTATGTGCGCATGGATGTTTGCTTGTATTTATTTTGATGCTACCTTAAGAAGAATTTTAGAAACCTCGAAAAGTTTGTGCACTTACCTGCTTTTTAAAGTTGGTCCTAATGAAGATAAGGCCCCATAGTAGATTGTTGTTTTTACTTACAGATGAACTTTTGTTTTTCCTAAGAACTGGCAGACTTGTCGATTCTAACAGACAGATGAGCTACTATTCTTTTGAATGTTTAAATGGGAATTAAGCCCCTTGAACATATTGAACAAATACACAGCTTTGCTTTGTTAGCTGTCTTAAAACCTTGTTTGCGGATTCCAGCTCTTGATTCTGGGAAGGAATTGCTATTAGAATCACTGTACCTGATGTATTAATGGTGTTTTTCAATGCTCATTTAGTTCCTGCTGCCAAAGTGGAGGCCTGTTTTAAGTATGTGTAGAGTGTGACAGAATCAAGATGCTTTCTTCTCCTCCAAGGTTACTTCATGTTTGTATTTTAAAGTGAAGTCTTTATGAAGTTAATGTATCCTGAGCTTGGATCATTTGAGGAAGATACTGTAAAATCATAGAAGAATAAATTAGGGCAAACTCGGTGATTTGAAAGGAGTTGAATGTGTATCAGATGCACTTCAAATAAAGAAAATCTTTTGGCAACTTCCTGTAGTCATCATTTGTCTGTGGTGCAGACATGACAACTGCGGTTTGATGCAACCTGTTTGAGTGTTAGATTTTTAAAAGAATTCTTGGTGTTCATAGAAGTTATTTCGATGGGCAGCCATGTGACCGAATTCTTGGGACAATACACCTGCGTTGGTCATTTCCTACTCTTTATTGTTTGTTAATTTATCAATCTGTTATGATAATCATCCTTTCAGAGAACACACTCTGGCCATGACAAACAATATGCATTATGTTTTGTCAAGAAAGAGGAGATATACAAGAACCATTCTTGCTGCCAGGCTAGCTATCCCCGGGTTTTGATAGGGAGAAATATTGAAATGTGTGCATTTCCTTATTTAACCCAGGAAGGTAATGTAACACACTGCTTTTGGTTATTTGTTTTTCAGGGGTGTAGCTAAATTCTGATAGGAGAATATTTAGAAAGCAATTGCCTCTGCCTTGTACAGGAAATTTCCTTGTACAGGGAATCCAGGGTGGTATATTGCTAGCATGTCTTTATACTAGATACAGTACTGTATTCTTGCCATATCTTTTACAGACCTAGTTTCAGATAGTAGGATTTGGCAGTGTAGTAATATCTAGTTTGCAGTTGGTTTTGCTATTCTGTTTTCATCAGTTTCCCAATAAAAGCTCTCTTCTTTAGCAAGCTCCCTATATTAGAATGAAGTGGTCTAATATAATGTAACTTTTTGCAGTGCATGAATTCCAGAAACGCATGACAAAGATATCGTTTTGAGGTTCTCAGAGATCCTTTCTGAGCCACTTGGTGTGGGAGACTTCATGGAAGCTTTTGCTAATAGCTAAAAAAAGCCTTTGGATGTTTTCCTTTAATTCATCTGTGTCTCAAGCCAGCAACTTTAGCAGCCCCATGCCTTATGAACTTACAAGGATTATCCAATATATAGATGCATTTTTCATTGCTGGCACTGTATGTGACTTTACGTTGTTACACCAGTCTGAAATTGTGGCAATATGAGCTATAATATAGCTGCTGTTAAGTCTAGGGACAGTGGAGTCTTTTATAAAAGCATAATATGGCATTTTTATATGGCTTGCTGATTGTATTAACCCTTTTGTTCTAGGATGCAGTCTCCTTTGCAACTGAGGTAGTAATTAGGCTACCCTTAAACAAACATATATTTTAAAGGAATATATCTGAACTGTATTAAAGCGATTGAAACAGAATGTTTAGGTGAATTAGATGCCAAATGAATTAGAAAGCTCTGAAGCCGTCATACTGTCTCATAGAAACTGATCCTACAGGTCATAGGATGGGAACATGTCACCCCCAAATTGTGTTAAACCACCTCCTGCCAGGCTCAGTGGGCATGGCTAATAGTGGTGGTTGGGAGTTATACTCTAGCAATAGCTGGAGTGCAAGATGTTCCCTGTTTCTTTGTTGGGTCATGTTGTTTGCTTGCTTCATTCTGCAGCTAATACTGTATTTATGCAGCAGCAAAAGGGGCTCTGCATAATGCAAGGTCAAACAAATCTTTGGCCAGGGGAATAGTTTATGTTGGGAAAACAGGGCAGAGGAAGAAGTTTGATTCACTGCTGCAGCTTTCAAGGAAAGAAAAATTTATTGGGAAATCCATTTGTGAGTACTGTGTGTTGTGATTTGATTGTCAGACACACACACACACACAGGCGGGAAGTCAGCCAGGGAGGTGCTTTTGTGATATGTATGTTGATGATCCTTGGGATGTTTCAGATTTGCTGATCAGGCAAAAGATGTACAGTACCTTTGTGTACACTGCTCACTCACAGACTGTTCTTATTTCTTTGCAGGGTAAAGTATTTGGATAATTTTCACCCAGTTCTTGCAAAACATTGTGGTTCTGCTAAATGGCTGCTGCATGGGTGGTGGTGGTGGTAAAGTTATATGTCTGATGTAACTTTCATACCCCTGCCCTACATGGGAAATGTGTAACATAAAAGCATAACAACATTACATTCGCATGGTGGAGTTCCTGTATAATGACTTTGCTGGAGTTGGTCCTTAGCAGTTTTTTAAATAGTTTTAAAGGATTTAAATGGGAATATAAGCAACTGGTGGCAAATGGGGATGTAGTTTAAGACTAAACCACTTCAGCTGCAGTGGGTTAGAACTTCATTCTATATTATGAAGTAGCTGATTGACAACTTCAACTTTTAATATCCTAATCATCAACCAAGAAAATGTGTCACGATAATTATATACTTATATAATAATGCATATTATTAAATATGTAATTTTGGTTCGCCATGTGTGGTTTGGAGTCATACTGCCTGTTCTTGTATACAGAGATATTGTATACAAGTCAAAAGTGTTTGATGTGAATTATATCATAGTTGTTAAGGAGTTCTCTCTCTCTTTAATCTGCCATAGCCCATTTCTGCCAGTGGTACAGCATAAGCCATTTTTAAAATTGTTTTTGAGAATTGCTGTAGTAGACTCACTTTTGTCCTTGATGTTTGGTCCCTTGCCTGTTTTTCTAGAGAAGCATTAACTGCCCTTCTTTCTTTTCTTTTAGAGCCTGCCTTTTTCCCTGGTCGCTGTGCTGAGATCTTTGCCAAAGGGCAGTGTATTGGAAACCTAGGAGTCCTCCATCCAGATGTTATTACCAAATTTGAGCTGACCATGCCTTGCTCTGTCCTGGAAATCACAATTGAGCCATTCCTGTGAAATCTTGATTCTGCATCCCTCCTTCAGGACATGTCACCATGCTGATCCGTTGCACCATTCATTCCTTCTTTTAAAAGAATAGATCAATCTTGGCTTGGTCATATATATATATGCATTGTAATAAGAATTGCTTGATAACAATATAGAGCTTCCCTTAACAGATGGAGTCATTAATATTTTTAAAAGCTAGAAGCTCGGTGTATTAATTTGTATATGTATTGATAGAGCACATGATACTATTTTAAGGAGGTTTCAGAGGCTGAATGTCTGACTTACTGATTACAGCTGCACAACAAGAATCTCGTTGTTTTCTTATTGCATGATATAGGATAATTTATTACAACGAATATTAAACGGATTCAAGCTTTTCCTGTTATTACTTTCAGTTGGAAAGGGACAGGGCAGGGCAATTTGTGCCCCCTGTAAATGGCAGTAATTATAGTACCAAATCAGCTTGTTACTCTGCAAAATAAAAGGGAAGGGTTCTGCATTTAATCATACCTAGACTTAATCTCCAGTGGGGAAGGCAGGGAGGTGGACAGTGCTGGTGGTCCATCTGTGCCTGCTGCAGGTAGCTGGGGGTTGCAGGGTAAATTATCTTTCCTTGCAAATCTCCTGCTATATCAGCACAAAGAACATGAAATGGTACATTTCAGGCTGTTGTGGGATGTGGAAGAGCTTTAGGGGCCTTTTAGGTCATGGATTTGATCGTATTCCCTTTCAAAGTGGCTGAACTAGCCTACGGATGAGAATGCCAAAGGAAATTTTCTGCGACCACATATTTGTATATATTCTGAGCATATTAACTGAGCAGCAGCTGACACGTACTGCCTGTGGTATCTGGTTCGCATGGCTTGTCCTGTTTCATATTCAGGTATATAGCAGGGGCAGGGGTTTCCTTTAACCAAGAGCTTAGATGGGCTGGCTGAGGGATATTAAGAGCCAGAATCTGAAATTAAGATTCTAAGATCTGTCTAAACTGCTGCTTGAATCACCAACAACAGACCCAATAAGTAGAGTGATTTCTACCCCTTAACAGAGTAGCTTATGTATAGTTTTTGCATTTAAAAATTCATTTACAAACATTAAGAAGCTGCTGTTGGTCCCACAAGCTAGTGCTGTCAACTCTAAGGGCTTTGGGCAGGATTTTTTCCTATGGAAGATGCTGATTATTTGCTGTTGTCCTCCTATCTAAGTACTGATCAGGCCCAACCCTGATTGAATGGTATTGCTTAAAAGCTACTGGAATTTTAGTGGAGTGTACTGTTTCTGCTAACACATTTGACTTTACAGACTCAGTACACTTTGCTAGCAGTTGCCTCACAATAGCAGTCCTCAGCGTCTGAAGGTGCAGGAAGCATGAAATATAACTGCTCAAGTGATTTTGTTAACAGCTGGTTCACATATTAACAGCTTTTCCAATATGCTTTTTCCATTGACCTTGTAATCTGTGTTGCATCAGGTGGAATTGACTTTTAACAGTAATTCTCACGTATTTGCATTTTCTTCCCTTCAAACACTGAACTCCTAAGCAAAGCCAATAAGCCACTGAGAGCTCGTATTATGTACAGGCTTCATTTTGACCTGCGACCAGTTTGAAATATCCCTGTCACAAACTCAGATTGTGGTCTGGTCTCGGATTTTGTGCTTCATCTCTAACATTACAGTCACCATTGGCTACTTTACACAAATGGGAGAATTACAGAATTCATTTATAAAATACTTTTGCACACCAATGTTCTGCACATTGATTGAACAAACAGGTACATTAAATGCACTCCTGTCTCACATCTTTGCCAGCTGGGAGCCATTCTTTGTATTGTCCCCTAGCAGTAGCCTCTTGTTTATAATGTAGAGTATGCATCAGGACAATCAAATATTGTGGCATAGGCAATTCGTCTTTTAGAACAGTGTGTAGCTTTTCATGATCCATACTGTTAAAGGCTTTACTGTAATCAATAACACATAGACTGATTTTCTGTTGGAATTCTTTTATGTGCTCTTGTAGCCAATGTATATGATCTTTCGTGCCTGTTTCTTTCCTGAATCCAGCTTGAACATCTGTCATTTCCAGCTCCATACATGGTGAATTTTGTTGTTAAATCTTGAGTTTCATATTGCTTATATGAGAAATTAATGCAGTGGTCCAATGGTTACTGCACTCTTCATCTCCTTGAATATGATGCCAACAAAAGAACAAGGTGACACACTGCAAAATATCCTATTATCTGTCTAAAGTCTCCACCCCAAAAAACACACAAAGATACATGACAGGACGAACTTTAGTAAAAATAGTTTGTAGAAACATAATTTGAATAACAGCACAGATAATTTCAGAATAAATTTCACAACTTTAAATAAAATAATACAAGTTCTGAAGGTGATGGTTGATAAATCTAAGCATACGCGCATTATAAAACTGAAAGCCGGCTTTATGTGGAAAGGCAATGCTGTGGCTCATAATATACACAGACGTTTCAGCTAAACCAGAATGAACAGAAAAAGTTAAATGAGATTTCATTTGGAGAGTGTTTCCCAGCCTACATATAATTTTTGCACAAACATACTATCAAGCTTGTAGATGAATGCAGGATGATCAGATGGGATGGGGTGCTCAACTTCTCCCACACTATACATTCCCCCATGCTGAAGATCACCCTCAGCCTCTAAAAGCCAAGGGTTACCTATAATTTCTAGGTCTAGATTTGAGGGCAGGATGGGAACTTGATGTGGGGAAAGCTCCACATGCTCCCCACTCATCAGCTCTGTCCCACAGATAGCCAGCATTAATTTCCAGGGTGTTAAGAGAGCTCCATACTGCCTATATATTGCTTAATTTTGCCCTGAGGTTCTTGGTTCAACATGGTCAATTCAGGCTTCAGGTCTTTTGCCTTCATGTAGCCCACATATTGCATAACATGCATTATCCATAATACAGTAGAAGTTCATATGCTACAGAGCAGGAATTTAAAACCTAGTATAATACTGAAGTTTCACCCTTTCCAAGCAGGCTATGTCATTTAGGGATGTTTTAAAGAAAAAAACACTACCACCATTTTAATTCCTAGTCTCACATTGCATTATATTGCTCGCCTATAGAAGGAATCTATGGAAAGCAGCTATTCAAGCAGTTTATAAACATGGTTAGAATAGGTAAAGGTTCCCCTTGACATTTAGTCCAGTCGTGTCCGACTCTAGGGTGCAGTGCTCATCCCCGTTTCCAAACCATAGAGCCAGTGTTTGTCCGTAGACGGTTTCCGTGGTCACATGGCCAGCGCGCCTATACACAGAATGCCATTACCTTCCTACCAAGGTGGCACCTGTTTATCTACTCCCATTTTTACATGTTTTCGAACTGCTAGGTTGGCAAAGCAATTAAAAACATCTGGCTTTCATATCTCTGTGCAAAGTCTATAACTGTTCATTGCTTGGATCTGTCCAGCAAGCAGTACATTATATTTCTTCCAGTCGCTGGCCAGATCATCTTGAAGTCCCAAGTTTCCCTGAAAACTCTTACTTCTGCCATTACTGCACTGCTACAATGTCAGTGGAGAGCAGAGGCCGATTTCTGAAACAACAGAATACTGTATTCCTAGCTTGGTTCCTACCCTCCTCAAGGCCACAACAGATTCCTGGAGAAAAGAAGAATTGCTTTACTAAACAAATAAGAAACTCAGTGGTCCTGAGACTCAACCACAGAATAGGCTGGTGAAGGAGAAAAACACAAAATATATGTTCCAGCATCAGTGAAAGAGTGAAGGCTAAAAACTATTTTCATTTAGCCCATTTATCCCTCATATACTACAAGATGTACAGTAGTTTTTGATTTCACAGTTAGGATACTCGGGAAGCTCAAAAAGCTGCTTGAGTTTTCTAGGAAGGAAAGAAGCTGCTAAAGATCTGACTGTCTTTCACGGCAGCATACTAGACCACCAGTATCAGCTATGCTTTAGATCTATGTTGAAAGGCACAACAATTTTTTTTTTTGGTTCAAGTCACTACCACTGCATACATTTTATTGCATCCCATAATGTGGGTTATTTCTTTAAAAGAAATGCACAGGATTTAATTCAAACCCAAAAAGCCATGCAGTAATGGCACAAGCACGGTAGCACTTAGGCCAATGGAACAGTAAGTTGCAAATTTATAGGGCACTTCGATCTCAACTTGCTGCTTAGCTTTGGGATCATTCACAGAAACACTGTACCAAGAACAAAGTGATTGAAGAACCACAGTTTTGACGATCTGCCGTGTAACCACTAGCACAGCAATTCCCACCAAAAACTTTGCAAGCCCCGTCAAGAGTATTTCAATGGTGATCAAAGGAACACTGGGTGAAACAGCTCCAGTCAAAGTGTTTGAGATGTAGTGGTTATTTATCCAAAAACCTATAACTGATCCAGCTCCAGCCCCTAAAATTGTGGTGGTGTCTGCTCTAGTTGGGCTGTAGAAATCTAATTTGGGGTAGTTGTAGCATAAGAGGAGGGGCACAGCAATGCAGAACACAGGACACAAGCAGTTGGTTAGCAGCAGTTGATCAAGGACATCCCAAGCAGGGTACACAAGAGCAGTTAATAGTGCCGACATCAGACTGCCAACAATCACATCCTGGAAAGAGACACAAAAAAGGAAGAAATTAGATGCGTTGCATTTTCTCACATGCTCCATGAAAACACAATTCTATCTGCATTTTAAAGTGTTTCTAGAGTTACACAGTTCTAGTAAATTCAACAACAATTATTACAGAACTGCTCCCTGACAATTTGTTCAACTGCATATTTAGCCATGAACTTTTTTTAAAAAAAATTACTAATTATAGGACAAAGTTATTTGTTTTGAAATAGTTAATGGTTTTACAAGCTTTCCAGGAATGCTGACAGAAGTTCTCCAGGAAGTGGACCTTTAAGACACAGAACTAATCTAAATAGTTGAATTAAGCATAACCCCAAACCAAGAATCAGGCTGATTTGGACAGATTTAAGAGATGTCCAAATCAAAGTGAAGATTTGCTGAAACAGATCAAATCTGAATCTTTATACTTTATTACTAGACATCCTTCAGTCTCAAGAGACTATGGTAACGTGCTCTGAATAGAGATCTTGGAATAGCGTCTAGTGTGGCTGAGAAGGCTAATTCAAGAGTAACAATCCCTTCCGCACTGAAGACATATACAATAGTCCCCTGTCCAGCTCCTTTATTTGGCTGGTTTCGGGACTGCCTCTTTGCCTCAGCCTGCTGGACAAGTGTCTCTTCAAATTGGGAGAGGCCATGTTCCAGGCTGAATGCTCAGATGTCGGTTTTCCAGCTGTTGAGGTCCATTCCTAAGGCCTTCAGATCCTGCTTGCAGATATGCTTGCATCGCAGCTGTGGTCTCCCTCTGGGGTGATTTCTCTGCACTAATTCTCCATACAGGAGATCTTTTGGGATCCGATCATCAGCCATTCTCACAACATGCCCAAGCCATCATAGACATCACTCAGTAATGTATACATGTTAACAATTCCAGCTCGTTCCAGGACTACACTATTTGGAACTTTGTCCTGCCAGGTGATACCAGAAATGTGTTGGAGACAACGCATATGGAAGGTGTTCAGCTTCCTCTCCCACCATGCACAAAGGGTCCAGGACGCATGGCAGTACAGGAGTGTGCTCAGGACACAGGCTCTATAGACCTGGATCTTGGTATGTGTCGTCAGCTTCTTATTGAGCCATACTCTCTTTGTGAGTCTAGAGAACATGGTAGCTGCTTTGCCAGTCTGTTTATCCAGCTTGACATCTAGGGAGAGAGTGTCAGAGATCGTTGAGCCAAGGCACACAAAGTCATGAACAACCTCCAATTCTTGCGTGGAGATGGTAATAGAGGGAGGTGAGTCCACGCCCTAGCCCATAACTTGTGTTTTCTTTAGGCTGATTGTTAGTCCAAAGTCTTGGCAGGCCTTACTAAAACGGCAGGCCTTACTTACTATAATTAAAAGTGACCTGTGCTTTTTGGATACTATCTGCTTCATCTAACACATCTGCAAGTAAAAGCCTTACTTAATATAATTAAAAGTGACTTGTGTTTTCTGCCATCTCACTGCTTTCTGCACTGGGGCCACAGCTTACATCTAAGTGAGCAACTGGATACTATGCTTCATCTAACACATCTGCAAGTAAAAGTAAAATAAAACTTTAATAACAATCAAATCAAATTAAAAACTGAAATTTTGAGGAAGGGGCTTGGTCCTGTGCACACACATATATAATTAAAAGTGACTTGTGTTTTCTGCCATCTCACTGCTTTCTGCACTGGGGCCACAGCTTACATCTAAGTGAGCAACTGGATACTATGCTTCATCTAACACATCTGCAAGTAAAAGTAAAATAAAACTTTAATAACAATCAAATCAAATTAAAAACTGAAATTTTGAGGAAGGGGCTTGGTCCTGTGCACACACATCTCACACCCAAACAAACCACTACACACTAACCTGCCTGCCTATTACTCTGGAATATTACTCTCTTGTTTTTCCTCTGTTGCCAGGACAAAGATCAACAAATATTTCCTTCCAAATGCCTTTTTAAATGGATTGAGGAGTTTAAAAAAACTACAGTGCAATCTCTGTCTTGCACAATTTGCAGAGACAGCCCTGAACACATCTCTTTTAACTCTACGTAGCTTCAGCTTGCTACTACAACAGAAGTGGTTAAACTTCACATAGATGTTTTGAGCTAACGGGCTGGAGACATATATGCTTTATATCAAGATCATCCCAGTAACATCTTGCTTGGGTTTTTGTTGCTGTTGAACTTCCCAGAATTCCAAATATTTGCATCTTCAGTTTGAATAACTGCACCAAATTTTGATTTTAACAGAAGAGCTAAAACTAAAGGGAAAGATAATCTATGTCTTGCTTTCTTCCCATTTCATTTTTATAATCAACATCTTTGCCCTGGGTATTTAACTAGCTGCTTTTCTCATGGTTTAGCACCACTTACTCAATTTATCTCTGGCAAACATTCCTTCAAAAAACAGCATATTTCTGTATTTCCCCGCATAATCCTCTCATTAAAAAGGGTGGGGTTCACAGTAATTTTTAAAGCTTTTATCGCACCATCAGCCAAAAAGTCCAGGTACAAACTGCTCTAGCTCTATTGTCTCCATCATTTGGTTCACGGGTGTGGTTCCTATGTCATTTGCACAATCATACTCCCTTGGCACATCCTTTCATTCTATTCTGGAATGTTGCTTAAAAACTCGAAAAGCACATCCTTGCTTGCTGAAAGATTCTGAAATTTTTCAAGCTCAGGGGTGGTTGTGGTGTTAGTGGACATATCCTTCATTACTATTGCTTCTGTAGCAAACAGACACAGTAGGGACATTTCCTAACATCGGTTCCTGAGGAGAGCACTATTGCACAATCATGTCCTGGTGCTAGGCTTTCCAGGAGGTTCCAGTTCACCATATAGGATCAAAATGCTGGGCCAAGTAGCCCTTTGGCCTGATCCAACTGGACCATTCTGAATAATCTCAAATTAGCAGGTGCACCATAGCTGTAACTACCCTTGCTAGACTTTTTCATGCACAGACTGGACTTCCCCAACAGGGCACCCTCTCATGTATTGTGTTCTGCTACACATCCTCATTTTAGCCAGCAGGGTCAAAGGCTTGCTGACAGCAGATGATGCAGTTTTCAGTCCACGCAGCAGAGCTGGAAGGCACCACTTGGGAAAATGCAATGCTAGAGGTTACGGTAAACTCAACTGTCACACTCCCTGTTTGGTGCTGTTGACTTGAGGATGGGCATGAACCTCAGTTTGGAGGTTTGTGCTGATTTGTATGCATTTCCTTCCCCAACTCCATGGCCAATACCTCACTCACCAGTCAGAGTGTGCTCCTCTCTTCCTCCTCTTTGGCTCTTTGACCAGTCCCCAGCAGGAGCACCGGTTTGCCTGTGGGCAATCACCCAAGGAAGTTTGGCAGGGAAGCTCATGCCCTTGCCAGAGACTGGTCGAACAACCAAGGAGGAAGAGCAGGAGAGGAGCACACTCTGACTGGTGGGTGGGTGATTGATAGGGGAGTTGGACAAAGAGGTAATAATTCCAAGCTGGATCTATTGGGCAAAGAGGTAATAATTCCAAGCTGGATCTAGTATTATTCTCCTCAAAAACTAGGGTGTGCATCAGTGGCTTTCCAGATGTTGTTGGACTTCATGATGCCTTGCTCCTGCCTGATCTGACCTAGGACTGCAGTGCAGAAACATATGGCCAGAATTTTCTATCCCTCCCATAAAACTTCAATTGCAATTAAAAAATGATCCTGTGCTTTATATACTGGTGTCTCTTAAAGGGACATCATTTGATAGGCTACTATATTAAAAAGATGAAAAACTAAAGCTTGATGCATGTTATGCACACATAATGTGAGACATCCTACGAGAAACCTCTGATGGTTACTTTGCCTTTTCTTGCCTGAAACGTACAACACAGGCACTATTTCATCATAACAATCAGGACTCATGACAGAACAAGCTAAGCCACATAGATAAGAAAAAAAAAAATCAGGCTTTAAGCTTCCTCTTTCTCCTCTCCTAAATATTTTGAAATGATGCAGCAAATACCATTTCCCCGAAAATAAGCCCTACCCTGAAAATAAACCCTAGTATGATTTTTCATGATGCTCATAATATAAGCCCTATCCGAAAAATATGCCCCGCTTAAGTGAAAGCTCGCCATCCACCATTGTTCAGCAACCAGATGACATGAGTATCTGAATAAATGTAGATTGTTGTTCATGAAAAAAAAAATACAACATCCCCTGAAAATAAGCCCTAATGTGTTTTTGGAGCAAAAATTAATCCTTGACCCTCTTTGCTGGGGGTCAAGGAGATTATTAATGTTTCTCTGAAGGGGGGGCAGGGACACTTCTGATGACTAACTCACTCATCAAAGCAAATAGTTTCAGGAGGATATTTAAAGCAAGTTTGAACAACAGTTTTCTGTTCAACAACAGTTTTCTGTTCAACTTCTCCACCCATAATCTCAGGATTTAATTTCATAATTTCTCCAGAGAGGATTATGTTTCCTTCCTTCACTTAGCACAAGGTGGAAGTCTTAATGAAAAGATTAGGGAGGAAACCACTACAAAGAGACAAAAAGATGAACTTTGAGCCTTTCCCTAGTTCAACTCAGGCAAGGGAAGAGGATGTTCTAGTAAATGGAGTCTTAATGACTGGGGAGCAGCTTGGATCTAATTTATTAAGGAAAAAAAAAGGTGTGTTATGCAAATTTTACTATTGCTATTGCCAGCAAGGTGAGGGAAAGAATTGGGAGATCCAAGAGTATCACAGCGTACTTGCATTCTTTGGGATATAAAAACACAAATGGATTCCTACTTCCCCCCATACAAAACTAGGTACCCAAGAAGTTTTTCCTTTTTGTTCTTCTTCTCTTTCATATGCAATTTAACAACCATATTCTTCCTTTATTTTCAACTCATACCCATCTGCAGTGATACATATGCTGCTTGCTAACCGTTCAAACTTTGTAGATTGTTTAAGGAAAATGCAATAAAACCTGAAAAAATCCTGCCCAAATGCTCTAGAAATGGGTTACACTGCCCTTTAAAGTTATTTTTTTAAAAAGTAATTAGAACACAGCGCTTAGCGATACTTCACTCATTACACAAAAAGCATCATATTCCCAAATCATGCTACATTGCTTTTGAAAGGAAACTGAGCAGACAGAAAGCATGACTACAGAAGAATTACATAATTTCATGTTGGCAGTAAAGAAATCAAAATTGACTGAACTGTGTGTATTGTACTTTAGACACACCATGAAAAGACAACCTCTTTTCCTACTCCAGAGAAGTCAAAGCTAGCAGGAACCCATTATGAGATAAGACTCATTTAAAGGAGACACATCCTTGAGGCTGCAAGTCGTGAGCAAGAATGTTAATGATCAAACTGTCTGGTGATCATTAATTCATAGCGTTAATGTAAATCAGAAATTATTTAATAGCACAGTGACCACCACCATGAACAATTCCACAAATGAGTTCATGAAAACTCACAAATTTTTATATATATATAAACTTTTTCCCCTATTTTTCTATTTGAGGTCAACAAGCAACAATTTTGATTGTTTTGTTATCAAAACATAAATATTCTTTCTGCAGTCATGATTTTTTACTGTAATATTCAACTGCCACCCTGAGAATCAGAGAGAGATGGCATCCTTATCTCTGCTAAGGAAAATGCCCAAACACTACAATTCTGCAAGCCTTGACCCCAGATTCTGAGACTCACATTTTGTCTCTTGGTAACTATACTGGGCTGGTAATTACTGTTTGGGAGGTAATCTCTGTGTTGATCACGAAAAAGTACTTTTAACCAGCATGCCAGAATGCTCAATTTAAAGATGACATCATGTTCACATTCCTTCATTAGAGAAAGCACGTGATCTAAAAGACCGCATCTCTCTTTATGAGCCTGCTCATAAGATCAGGCTTTAAGATCATCAGAAGAGGCTTTTCTCTCAGTCCTGCCATCCTCACGGGCGCACTTCATGCGGGCATGCGAGAGGGCCTTCTCTGTCACTGTTTCCAGACTCTGGAACTCCCTCCCATGGGAAACTAGGCAAGCTTTCCTTTAATGACTGAGAAGGATTTTTAAATGGATTGTTGTGCTCTGTTGTTTTAAATGTGTTTAATATTAATTCTATTACTGATTTTAATTCTATTACTTGTTTAATTCTTTTTTAATATTTGTATACCTACTGTTTTTAAGGTCCTACATATTGTCTTTTTAATGATGCAAGCCACTTTGGGTTCTTTTTAAGAAGAAATGTGGGATAAAAAATATTATAAACAAACAAACAAATAAATATACTTTGTTGCAAAGATACGGATTGTGTAAACATTTCAACAGAGCTTTCCTTAATAACCATTTTTCAGACAAATGCATAAAGTTAATCTAGAAGGATGACCAAATCCAACACAAGACCTTTTTTAAAAAAAATCTTTATTTCTTTTAATATTTCAACTTGATTTGCACATGACTGACAATATTATGCTAGATCTTGATAACTGAATTTATTTAAATATATTTAAACTACAGAAGGGTTATTGCTATTACTTTTAAAAATTCACTTGTTTGAGACAATAAAAACCCTCACAAAGTGAGTTTTAGCTAATAAAAAGCATCTTTCCTCCCCCAACTAAAGTAGCTTTGTTCTTTCAAGATAGCCAGTTAAGTCTTTACTCCTCACCACCATTTTCATGTGAGTTCTGAAAAATCTTTTATTATAATTGATAATAATAACTGCATGTTGTCAAGTCAATTCTGACTTAACCTTTTCCAGTGTTTTCTAAGTAGAGAATACACAGAAGTGGTTTACCCCTCCCTTCCTCTGGGGCATTCAGACTGCACAAGCTGGCTCTTCCCACAGAGAGGCACAATGTGGCAATTGAACTCCTAACTTCTGGCTCCACGGCCAGATAGCTAAACCACCGAGCTATCCAGCCAGCTTAGATATTAACACAATGTACAAAGGATTTCTATAGACTAACTCTAGGTTACTGGAGACATCCTCAGTTTTTTAGTCATTGTGTTGATATATTAACGCCTGGATATTTACTAATGTTCATGGTGATTATGAGGAAGATAAACAAATGTAGCCATTTACAACTATTAATGTTCAAGATTATCTCCATATAAAATCAGCAAGCTATGTTTCTAAAATTCAGCTCTTCTCAGTATTTATATGACATTAAGTCTGGTTTTCAATTATGAGTATTGTGTATAGGTGAAGAAGTAGCGTAGGTGGCTTCTTTCAGAATGGTTTGTATGTTCTCAGCATTGAAACATGCAGAAACTCCCATAATAGGCAACCTGTCACCTTCCAGATGTTGACAGTTTGCAAACACACCCACCCATCATCCCAGCCACCCACTAATGATGACTGTTACAGGCCAATAACTTCCTTAGCACTGTACTAGAATGGTTGTGTTACCTAATTATTAAAACATACAGTATCTCTGTGCTTTTGTCTCTGCATTTTGTTCTGTTTTCATAAGTACCAATGCTCAAATAGCTGGACTGCTTATAACATAAATGTAGATACAGCCTCACATAGGTTTCTTTTATTATAGTATTGTATTGACATTTTCTACTGTTTGGGTTTAAACACACAAGCAACAGTCTTCTGCTTATTCTACTGAAGCAGTTAGATTTCAGTTTACTGACAAAGTCAAATCAAACTACTATAGCCTCTAGATTACATGAAGTCTCTTGAACAACGCAGAACAAAGGGGCTTCCTTACATTTAAAATCTATAGAATTTATCTTACCTGTTGTGAAATCATCTAGAACAATGATAATCCACCACACAAAAATCAGATATTAAAAAAACCTAGTTAATCTCCTTGGGCTAAAATCCAAGTGTCACTCCCAGTTACAACACATATAGTGAATGAATTGGACATGTTAAGGCAACACTTATATAAGTTCCACTAATGTAGTGTGCCTACTCTAGCTGGGACTACCAATTGGCTTTAACCCCTTATTATTATTATTTCTTCTCAAACTTAACACTCACAAAGAAAACAATCCAGGCTTCTCTGGAGGACTTTTCATGCTAGCTATCAGAGGTTTGGTGTAGCTATCCCAACTTCTTCTTCATAACAGAATTACTATCATAGAGACAAAATTAGGTTGTGAGTGGAGAATCCAAGAAGTTCTGTAAAGTTCAGTGGGTGGGGGAAGTTCCTGGTGTGACAAAAGTCTAACCTGAAGCCATTTCTAATCTCAGAAAGGAGATCATCCCATGCAATGAGACCACACTGGAGAATGTCTTCCAAGAAACGCTGTCTCTGGAAGCTATGGAATGGTAAGAAAGGCTTCCTCACAGATCATAAGGCATATATGGGAGACAGAAGTCTCTGGCTTTTATGACTTTTGGTTATGGCAAATACTGACACACACCTATAATTGAGAATGAACACAGAAATGCAGTTGCAGTATAGCAATATGTACAATGGTCTGTTAGTACTTACCAGCACTGTGTGCATGCCTGTGTAAATTCTGCTGAGGCATACCAGAATTGAAAATAAAGAGGCTCCCATCAGCCCTACCACAACTGGATACTGTGAACATGACGGGGGGGGGGAGAGATATTAATAGCAATCATATACAGCATGCCATCATGCAATCACCAAACCTTTAACAGCAACTTGTAAATATGGACCAAATCACAGCTATTGGTGCATTTCTGAGGCAATCATGGAGTGGAACAAAGAGCCCAGGGCATTTATCCCTTGTGTTAAATTCAACATCCATGCTGTTAAACATCTTAAAATAAAAAGATGGCATACAATTTTAAAAAGGGAATCCAAAGCATGAATACCTTATAGGAAAGGTATACAGTGGTGCCTTGCTTAACGAGCGCACCGTTTAACGACGAATCCGCATAGTGACGCGTTTTTTGTGATTGCTAATGTGATCGCATTGCAATGTTTTAATAGGCAAAACATTGCATTGTGATGATTGGTAGGCATTTTGCTTACCAATCTTCACATTGCGATGTTTTGGGAACAGCTGATCGGCGGTTACAAAATGGCCGCCGGGTCAACAAAATGGCCGCCCACAGTGTTTTCGCGCCCTGCCCTCGCTTACCGGGCAGCGAAAATGGCGGCCGGATGGAGGATTCCCCACATAGCAGTGAGTTTTCCCCCAATAGGAACACATTAAACTCCATTTAATGCATTCCTATGGGGTTCCCCCCCGGCATAGCGACGAATGCGGATAGCGACATTAATCTTGGAACGGATTAAGGTTGCTATGCGGGGCACCACTGTAATCAAAGTTCTAAGTTACCTTGGATCGTTTTTAAGGAGAAAGGTGGGGTGAAAATATTTGAAACAGAAAACAGAGACCTTTGGGTAGTGTGGGCGGCATATAAATTAATTAAATAAAAATAAATAAATAAAATAAAGCTAGGTATGCCTTTGCACAGATGAACACCTGCATTTACTGCTAGTCCAAACCTAGAGCAGAACCACCAAATCATTTTTTGAATGGCAACTTAATACTCTACTGTAGTTGGAACAGCAATAGGATTCTGGCCTCTGGGATATGTGGGGCTCAAGGTAATCATGGGGCCCTTGGGATTAAAAGGACTGCTGCTCTAAACTGACTATACCAATTCCTGAGAAAAAGATATCTCAGCCACAGTGAAATTTCCATTGCAAGTGTCTGAACACTAGAAAAAGGTAAACTCAGTATCAGAAAGGCCCTGAAAATAAAATGCTTGTGGTGTCATTATTTATTCATGGAACTTACACTGGGGAATCTGTGGATTCAGTCCCGCTTTGAGCAGGCCCTTTAAAATCAATGGGGTCCCCATGAGTAAACTGAAAGGTGGGGTGAAAATATTTGAAACAGAAAACAGAGACCTTTGGGTAGTGTGGGCGGCATATAAATTAATTAAATAAAAATAAATAAATAAAATAAAGCTAGGTATGCCTTTGCACAGATGAACACCTGCATTTACTGCTAGTCCAAAACTAGAGCAGAACCACCAAATCATCTTTTGAATGGCAACTTAATACTCTACTGTAGTTGGAACAGCAATAGGATTCTGGCCTCTGGGATATGTGGGGCTCAAGGTAATCATGGGGCCCTTGGGATTAAAAGGACTGCTGCTCTAAACTGACTATACCAATTCCTGAGAAAAAGATATCTCAGCCACAGTGAAATTTCCATTGCAAGTGTCTGAACACTAGAAAAAGGTAAACTCAGTATCAGAAAGGCCCTGAAAATAAAATGCTTGTGGTGTCATTATTTATTCATGGAACTTACACTGGGGAATCTGTGGATTCAGTCCCGCTTTGAGCAGGCCCTTTAAAATCAATGGGGTCCCCATGAGTAAACTCAAGTCTCATTGATTTCAATAGGCCAATCAGGTACAGATGAGATGCAACTGTCAAGTACAACAGAATCTGAATCCAACCCTCCAACTACAGACTATGCCAAACAAGAAAGAACATTTGGTTTATTCCACATGACCCTTCAGCAATGCACTTCCGCACCCCCAGTGAATATCAGTTATACAAGTCTGTCTGCCATGGTGGCGGAAGGAAGAAAAAAGACAGAGGACAAGTCAGGTCAGTCCCGCTTTGAGCTACACTTAAATTCTTGAGAAAAAATGTTCACTGGTCCAGAGAGGCTCCACGTGGTTACTTGTCCCTACCTTATACTGGTTTGCAGCTGCAGCAACAAAGGTGAAAGATATGGCGGTCGCTGCCATTGCATGCGTGGAAGGCATTCCATATTCTGCATTTGTCCTTGTTTCTAGCTTGACAACAGGTGGTGAATAAGGCCGAGGCCACTTCAGAAGGTCCTTTGAGACTTGGCCGATGTACATAACCACCTGGAGAGAGAAAAGAGAGACTGAAGAATCACAGTTTGGGGGATTCTGAATATTACGCAAAAAAAAGTAACTTTCTCAATCTCTGACTTCAACCCCAAAGAGCTTAAGACAAGGATCTGCCTATTCATTCATTAATTCATCCAACCAACCATCTTATTTTTGTCCCACCCTTCTCCCAATAAAGAAACTCAAGGTAGTTTACAAAATATTCAGAAGTCAAGTAATAAGACAAGTCTTTAAGTCCCAGATAGTGGGCCGCTGTCTATGATGATAGCAGTGGTGAGGAGGATGAAGAGGAGAAGGAGGTGGCAGAACAAGGTGGGGAGGCGACAGGAGCAGTGGGAAGGGGGCAGTCAGGTGGCAGAGGAGGGTTTCATTTCCCTCCGGCACAAACTTTTTTAAAAAAGCTAACTGGTTTGTGGCTCTCTTTTTTAAAAATTCAGAAAGTCCATGGTTTGCGGTTAGCCACGAACCACAAACGACAAACCACCATGAACCGCCATTTTTCTGGTCCGTGCCCATCTCTAGTCATCAGTATTCTATGTTATCAGCTCTTTTAACACTGAGGAATAGTATCTTAGGAAGGTCTGCCTATACTGCAGGTGTTTCTCAGCAAGTACACTGCCAAAATACTTCTGCTTTCCCATGAATTCTCACTGGTATCCTCTGTTTGAAAAGAAGGCAAATTAAAGGAGTTACATTTTCCAAAAATCCATGAAGCCCACAATGTACCACTATTAAGTATACTGTGGCACCTCTGACATGAGCAAACAAAGAGTCACAATACAGGCCAGAGGACATATATTTTTCCTGCCATATGTGAGAGATTTGTTTGGGGACAAGGAGGGTTTTGCAACCTATAGATCAAGAATCGACAAATGCATCCTGTGGGCTGCATGAAGCCTCACAAGGCCCCAATACACACTTCATACCTTGAAGCAATTAAAAGAATTAAATAAAAATAATTTTATAGAACAAAAAAACTAGAAATATAACTATTTAAAAGCATGATTCGGGACGTGGTGGCGCTGTGGGCTAAACCGCAGAAGCCTGTGTGCTGCAGGGTCAGAAGACCAGCAGTCATAAGATTGAATCCAGGCGACGGAGTGAGCTCCCGTCGCTTTGTCCCAGCTCCTCACCAAACTAGCAGTTCGAAAGCATGTAAATGTGAGTAGATAAATCGGTACCACCTCGGTGGTAAGGTAAAACGGCACTCCCTAGTCACACTAGCCACGTGACAACAGAAATTGTATTTGGACAAGTGCTGGCTCTACAGCTTGAAAAACAGGATGAGCACTGTCCCCTAGAGTTGGACCCGACTGGACTAAAAATGTCAAGGGGAACCTTTACTATTTAAAAGCATACAGTGGTGCCTCGCTTTACGATTGCCCCGCATAACGAATTTGCTTTACAACGATCTTTTTGCGATCACAAAACGATGGTCTAAATGGGGGAATTTTGCTTTGTGATGATCGGTTCTCTGCTTCGAGAACTGATTCTTTGCAAAACAATGATTTTTAAACAGCTGATTGGCGGTTTCAAAATGGCTGCCACGTTAATAAAGTGGCTCCCTGCTGTGTTTAGGGATGGATTCCTCGCTATACAGGCAGCAAAAATGGCTGCCGTATGGAGGATCTTCGCTGGACGGTGAGTTTTTACACCATTGGAACGCATTGAACAGGTTTCAATGTGTTTCAATGGGGTTTTTATTTTTGCTTTACGATGTTTTCGTTCAACGGTGATTTTCCTGGACCGGATTATCGCCGTTAAACGAGGCACCACTGAACATTTGATACATATACAGAGAAAGAGAGAGAGCAAATAAAGCATTCTAAAATCACAGAATCATAATCCCTTAAGAGCACATTTTATCTTTTTTATGAAAGCAGAGCATATTTTCCCCTCTAATGTCTTGGTAGCTGCCTTGAGCAGAGATATAGCAAACCATGCTGAATTTGTTGAAAACTCAAAAGAAAAGAATGAGTGGGTTTTTCCTACCAAATCCTATTGCATTTACTATTCACAGGATCTGTGCCTATTCATATTCTTTTTATCTCCTCAGCTCCTATAATGCAGCTTGGCATGACACACTATCTCTCCCTGCATTTCACTGTGCCCTACAATCTACCTCTGGTTGAAATTTCATATTGCTTCCTGCTGATATTTCAATGTCCACACAGCCCTCCTTTGTTTGTGTGTCATTCTTTGTTCTTTTTGAAGTGTGAATGTCCCATAAGATTTTTATGCCCTATTTGAACAACACTTTGAAGTTCAACCCATTATAAAAATTGCATGGAGTTAAAAACAACAGGAAGTGTGGTGATGCTGGCACCAAGCCAAAGAAGACCATGGCAAACCTGCCAGCTATCTAGAAGCCACTTTTCTGGAAACTGCTCATTCATACCCACTTGAAGCCACCAGACCATTCTACCCTCCCCACCAGAAGCCAAGAGGCAAGCCTAGAGGGCTGCAGTTTTTTTTTTCTTCAATCCAGAGGTGTGATGATTCTTTTGATTGCCACAGAACAAATTTAGGGATGAATTCTATCTGGAGGAATTTGGTCACTGGTTGGGTTACAGGTTCAATATCATATTGTTGTTTAGTCGTTAAGTCCTGTCTGACTCTTTGTGGCCCCAGGGACCAGAGCATGCCAGCTCCTCCTGCCTTCCACTGCCTCCCATAAATTAGTCAAATTCATGTTGGTAGCTTCAATGACACTGTCCAGCCATCTCGTCCTCTGTCGTCCCCTTCTCCTCTTGCTTTCACACTTTCCCAACATCAGGGTCTTTTCCAGGGAGTCTTCTCTTCTCATGAGATGGCCAAAATACTGAAGCCTCAGCTTCAGGATCTGTCCTTCCAGTGAGCACTCAGGGTTGATTTCCTTCAGAATCTGATCTCCTTGCAGTCCAGGGGACTCTCAAGAGTCTCCTCCTGCACCACAATTCAAAAGCATTGGTTTTTCGGCGGGCAGCCTTCTTTATTTCTTTATGGTCTAGCTCTCACTTCCATACATCGCTACTGGAAAAACCATAGCTTTGACTATGCAGACCTTTGTCAACAAGGTGATGTCTCTGCTTTTTAGGATGCTGTCAAGGTTTGTCATCGCTTTTCTCCCAAGAAGCAGGTGTCTTTTAATTTTCACCATCTGCAGTGATCAGGGAGCCCAAGAAAGTAAAATCTGTCACTGCCTCCATATCTTCCTCTTCTATTTCCCAGGAGGTGATGGGACCAGTGGCCATGATCTTAGTTTTTTTGATGTTGAGCTTCAGACCGTTTTTTTGGCACTCTCCTCTTTCCCCCTCATTAAGAGGTTCTTTAATTCCTCCTCACTTTCTGCCATCAGAGTGGTATCATCTGCATATCGGAGGTTGTTGATATTTCTTCCGGCAATCTTAATTCTGGCTTGGGATTCATCTAGTCCAGTCTTTCGCATGATGTATTCTGCATATAAGATAAATAAGCCGGGGGACAATGTACAGCCTTGTCATACTCCTTTCCCAATTTTGAACCGATCAGTTGTTCCATATCCAGTTCCAACTGTTGCTTCCTGTCCCACATATAGATTTCTCAGGAGGTAGACAAGGTGGTCAGGCACTCCCATTTCTTTAAGCACTTGCAATAGTTTTTGCATAGTCAATGAAACAGAAGTAGATGTTTTTCTAGAACTCTCTGGCTTTCTCCATAATCCAGCGCAAGTTAGCAATTTGGTCTCTAGTTCCTCTGCCCCTTTGAAATTCAGCTTGTACTTCTGGGAGTTCTCGGTCCAAATACTCAAGATCATTAGCAAAAAGCTAATCAGGTTTTTCATTATCAGCTCTTATCTGCCAGTTTAAGGAGAATATACTCTTTTTTCCTGCAAACTCTCTTCTGTCATCATTTTAGCTACACTTTTACAGATGGACTTCCCTCAGTAAGAAGTAGCAGCAACATATTAGAAGAAAAAAAGAGTGGAAATTAACAGGAAACTGAGCAGCACTGTTGAAAAGCAGGGAAATTTGGCTTCTCCATACCATCTATATCATGGAGCTGATGATGATGACACTGGAATTATGTTTCACACTGACTACGTAGAGAGTTCATCAGAAATGTCATAAATTAGGGTTGTACCTTTTGAGTGAGCAGCGAATATTTGTTTTAATACTGTAATATTATAAGGAAAATCAGTAGAGATTTAGACTGGAGTTTGGCAGATCCATGTTCAAGCTTGCACTTAGCAAAAAACAAAAACAAACCCATCCACCCCCTCACTGGATGACCTTGAGTCAACCACTCTTTCTCAATCTGCTCTACATACAGTACATCAAAGGGTTACTGTGAGCATAGAGTAAGGGAGGAACCATGTACACTGCTTTGAGATCATGGCAATATAAATGCTACTAATGAATAAATGAATAATAACTTAAATGGCTATCAAAGGAACAGTATTCTTTTAGAGGAACATGTAATTTTGTTTTCCAAAGCCATATCATAACATTGGGATGCTAGAAACTACTTACATTTTAGGTTCTTTTTCCCCCCAACTTGTTGTCCTTAAGTTTTTTTTTTCAGGGTAGATTTTGTTTCCTGAAAACCAATTGCAAGGTGATTTTTTAAAAAGCAACTAGAATGTATGGAGCATAACTTTTTCTTTTAGTATTTGTGCTGTTAATACATGGATTTATTAAATCTCTCCTTTTTGCCTTGCAATACAAAAACTCGGTTTATGGAAACATAATGGGTGGTGCATGATAGCTGGGCCAGCAATTTCAAAGCAATGCATGGGGATTAAGTTGTGTGACTTTTGAAAGTTGAGGGGCAAAGCATGACTAATTTTTCTGTGTGTTGCTCAGAAAACTGAAGTAAAGCATACACCTCATAATTCTTATTTACTTTTAGAGCTTAGTTTTTAACTCCTTCATTTCCACATTTCCAAAGGGACCTGTAGGGTAAGCTCTAAGACCAAGCAGTAATATAGCAAATACAAAGGACTGGAAGGTTAGAAAAGGACAAGCCAATGTGGC